TACCTGTTCATACTCGTGCTTGATTGGCACGGGCAGCGACAACATCGTCAACCTCATCATTCAGAACACAAGATACGACCTGGTCAGGCCGCAACCCCTCGTTCGTTGCCTCGCGCTGCAGTGGCATCTCCAACGTCGGCTTCGATCGAGATGGCCGAGGCGTCGCCAAGAAGAAACACGCCGACATTCCAACTGCTCGTGTCGCCGTGAGTTACAGCTGCGCGCGCAGGCGGCGACGCGTCGCGGAGAAACGCGTATAGAGGTGCACCAAAGCGTTGTGCTGGGCTGCATGTGGCACACCAGGTTCGTCAGATACAGCGCCGCTCGTCACACGATACACATCACAGAACTATGCTTGTAGTCATAAGAAAGATGCGTGCCACAGCAGCACGCTACGCGTGTCACAGTCACAGTTATAACATCACAGTCAAACAGTTATACATCACAGTCACAGGCTACGACCGTCCACAGTCACAGCTACACGTTCAGACAGTCATCAGCTACGTGTTTAACAGTCTAAAACAGTGGCACAGCTACACGTCACAGTCAGCAGTTTTATACATCACAGTCACAGTCCCCAGCTACACGTCACAGTCTAAGCTACACCCGTCACAGTCACAGCTACATGTCACAGTGCACAGCTACTGTCACAGTCAGCAGCTACATGTCATCAGTCACAGCTAGCAGCGTCACAGTCAACAGCTACAGCTGTCACAGTCACAGCTACACCGCAGCAGTCACAGCTACAATGTCAGCAGTCACTGCTACTGTTCACAGTCACAGCTACATGTCAGCAGTCACAGCGCTACATGTTACAGTCACAGCTACATGTCACAGCTAGCGTAACAGTCACCAGCTACGTGCAGCAGTCACAGGCTACATGTCACAGTCCACACTACATGTCACAGTCAGCAGCTACACCGTCACCGAGTCAACTAGCTACGTGTACAGCTCATAGCTAGCATGTCACAGCTATGCGTAACGAGTCCACAGCTACGTGGTCACAGTCAGCAGCTACATGTCACAGTCAAGCTAAACAGCCGTCAGCAGTCACAGCTACATGTCACAGTCACAGCTACACCGTCACAGTCCAATCAGCTACAATCTTAGCAGTCACAGCTACCACCGTTCACAGTCACAGCTACCGTATTAGCAGTCAAGCATACCTGTAACAGCTATGGCGTACCACAAGTCACAGCTAGACATGTCACAGTCACAGCTACATTCACATCACAGCTACAGACCGTCACAGTCCACAGCTACGTGTTACAGTCGATAGCTACATGTCACAAGCTATCCGTAACAGTCACAGCTACATGTCATCAGTCCAACAGCTACATTGTCACAGTCACAGCTACATGTCACAGTCACAGCTACACCGTCACAAGTCACCAGCTACGTGTACAGACATACGCTAAGTGCGTAACAAGTCACAGCTACGTGCTCACAGCGCTCACAGCTACATGTCACCAGTCACACGCTACCACCACGTCACATTGTCAGAGCTACATGGCAGCAGTTCAGCACTACACCGTCTAACAGTCACAGCTACGTATTACATCAAGCTACATGTAACAGCTATGCGTAACAGTCACCAGCTACATGTCACCGTCACAGGCTACATGTACAGTCCCAGCTACATGTCCACAGTCACAGCGTAACGCCGTCACAGTCAGCAGCTACGTGTTACAAGTCAATGCTACATGTCAGCAGCTATGCGTAACTAGTCACAGCTACATGTGCAGCAGTCAGCAGCTACATGTCACCAGTCACCAGCACATGTCACAGTCAGCAGGCGTACGTGTCCACAGTCCGGCAGCAACGGCACAGTCAGCAGCTGGCACCAGTTCACAATTCCGATAGGCTTCATCGAGAGACTTCGCATATGGCGTGCTGCGGCGTAGCGTACGACTGAACGCCACATTCGTTGCAGGGACACGATCGATGTCGTGAAGCAGAGTGCGCCTCTGTCTGCTGCGCTTGTTCGCACCTCCCCCGAATGGTCATCCGCAGGCGAGTAGCACGTCTCGCACGATCCATCTAGTCAACGATCAGCACATGGTGAGTGCGGCAACCCTCTCTCCCTCTCGCTCTCTCGCTCTCTCTCGCTCTCTCTCCTCTCTCTCTCTCTCTCTCTCCCCTTCCTCTCCTTCCCTCTCCTCACTCGCTCA